TTCAAGTGGGGAAAGGAAGAACAACAGGCTTTTAACAACATCAAGACGGCCTTAATGTCTGCACCGGCTCTGGGGCTCCCCAACCTAACCAAGCCCTTCCACCTGTATGTGGCAGAAAATAAGGGGGTCGCAAAAGGGGTCCTAACTCAAAAATTGAGACCCTGGAAAAGGCCTGTAGAATATCTGTCTATAAAATAACACCCAGTAGCCTCAGGGTGGCCAGCTTGTCTAGGGATCATAGCGGCAGTAGCAGTTCTGGTAAAAGATGCTGACAAGTTGGTGCTGCTCAAATAAATACCTAGTTCCAGGGGTCAAACCAAAGACTACCCCAGCACCCCAGGTACCCAACCAGAGTCCTCAGTCCCCACTGCAGGGACAGAGGCAGCAGCCCCAATAGAAATAACTCAGCCCCCTGAGCCTAGGCCTCAAAAACAAACTGGATTATTCCGCTTAATTTCTGAAGCCTTCAAGGTCTTCAATAGTACCAACCCCAATGCTACCCGCTCCTGCTGGCTTTGTTATAATGTTGCTCCCCCATATTGTGAAGGAATAGCCTTCAGAAATGGAATTAATACTACAACTGGTGTCTCCAACTTTCGTTGGCAGCAACGACAGTTCAAACTCACTCTGTCAGCTGTTATGGGGCAAGGAACATATGTGGGAAAAATACCTTCCTCACACAGCCAGCTGTGCAACCAGACTCTTAATGTGACCCAGTGGTCTAGAGACACATATCTGTTGCCCCGTCCAGAAGGATGGTGGGCCTGCACTACTGGGGTCACACCCTGTGTTAGCTTACAGGTCCTAAAAGGGACCCAAGATTTCTGTATCCTGGTTTGGTTGTTGCCTCAGCTCGTTTATCATCCCTATGAAGAACTATTATCATATAGGGATGAAAATAATGGGAACTACCAAACCAAAAGGGAGCGCCTAAGTATCACACTCTCTGTCCTCTTAGGCTTAGGATTGGGAGGAGCTGGGTCAGCTACAGGGGACTCAGCTCTAGTTATTCAACATCCGAATTACCAAAGTTTACAGGCAGCCATAGATGCTGATATTAAAGAAATAGAAAATTCAATTACTAAATTACAAGAGTCCCTCACCTCTCTTTCTGAGGTGGTCCTGCAAAGTAGAAGGGGGCTAGACCTCTTGTTCCTTCAGCAAGGGGGAATCTGTGCTGCACTAAGAGAAGAATGTTGTTTTTACATTGATCACTCAGGGGTAATTAAAGACTCCATGGCCAAAATTAGGGAAGGCCTGGCCAAAAGAAAAAAAGAAAGGGAACAAAATCAGGAATGGTTTGAGTCATGGTTCAACTCCTCCCCATGGCTCACAACCCTTGTGTCTACCCTGCTAGGACCATTAGTGATTTTGGTTTTACTTCTGACCTTTGGGCCCTGCATTTTAAATCACTTAGTAGCTTTTGTTAGAGAAGGTGTTAGTACTGTCCGAATTATGATGTTAAGACAACAATATCAGGAATTAAATCAACAAGAGACAAGTATTTCATAATTGATATACACACAAGAAAAAGGGGGGAATTGTAGAGAAAAGTATAGCTTTCACATGCGCAATTTGCTTCTGTACAAATGTTTGCTAAAAACCGGAAAACATAACTAATGTCATTTTAAGTAAGGCATCTTCTAAGGGGTTATGTAGAATTCAGGAGGGCCCAGGCTCACTAAATTCCAGGAAGGGAGTAAATACCTCCCAGTTCCAGGAACTAACCAGTTCCTCACATAGAGGCCACCTGGCCACAAGGAAGATAAACGATTGGGAAATACAATGTTCCTTATCGGGGTGCCAGCCCACTAAAGCCCACCAATAAATCTAATGGTTGCCTCAGGTAACCCGTAAGCAGTATACAACTCAACCTGTTGCAAAAATCTGTTCTAAAAAACTGTATAAAAAGCTCGTATGTTAAGAGCTTGGGGCCGCTTCTGTCCTGAAGACAGAGTGACCCCAGCATGCTGGAATAAAAACCTCTTGCTTATTGCAATGGTCTCTGTCTCATGGTCTTTGTGAAGTGAGCCATCCTGACGTGTGGGATTTGTGCATGGTGCACAGGTCTTACACAGACTGTCCAAGGACTGCTAAGAAAAGTCCTGTCTTATCACCTTCCCCAGCCTTCCTGCTGTCAACATGGGAGTCCTGCAGGCACACTTTCTTTACCTGAACTGCATCTTATCTATGTCTTACTTTAAAGCAAAAAAAAAAAAAAAAAAAGGTTATGTGCTGAACTACCATGAACTGCTGAGTTGTTAAGAGCACATGCTATCAAGTCCACCAGGTAGTGTGGCTTCACATTCTGGCTCCAGCACACAAGCTCCAAGTTCCTGGGCAAATGACTGGACCTTAGTTCTCTCACCTATAAGACGAGGCTAATAAAAGAACCACTTTGCATGCTGCTGTGAAGATCAAGTGAGGTAATCTATTGAAAGTGTTTAGCTAACTAACTGGCATATACTAAGCATACAACATTTGTTGGCCATTAGTTGTACTATTCATACACATTTACTTGTATTGGTTGCACTAGATGTGCTAATCATAAGCACACAGTATTCCTTG